ATATATAAATATATATATTTGTGCAAAAAATATATATGTAAATATATATAGATATTTATACCACAGTGTATAAACGATATGCGATGTATACATAACGTATGTGTATATATATATGTATATATATTTATGTATATATATATATAAATGTAGTAAAAAACAATCATGGCCAAAAACGAAGGTCAACTTCTTGACAGTGAGCTAGCAAGACAGGCTGGCAGGACGGGAGAGGATTCATTTGGCTTTTCGTAGTCTCTTTTGTTTGTCAATTTTTTCGTCTTTCTCTCTTTCTCTCTTTCTCTCTCTCTCTCTCTCTCTCTCGCTCTCTCTCGCTCTCGCTCTCTCTCTCTCTCTCTCTCTCTCTCTCTCTCTCTCTCTCTCTCTCTCTCTATCTTTCATAACAAACTTTGAGCGCACTTTTTCGGTTCCCTCAAAGTACGTGGAGATGGAATTCACAGACGGAAGAGGGGCCGAGCTTTTTACGATCGAGTGGTAACTCTTGGCGCGAGCTGTACGCGTAGCAAGCAAAAGAATGTTGAAGGGGTAGAAAAGGGTCGTGAGGTAGTGAAAGATACAGAGTCGTGAAACTGAAAATGAAAGTTTCGTATTCTCTAACTGAATAGAAATTTTGCATATAATCTAGCCTGTTGTTTCATACATTATGAATGTATTCGAGTATCATTCTAGAAAATTCTGGAATATTTATAAGGAGATGAATCAAGTATAATTCGTTTTGGTCTAATAAAGTTCACGTCTCTCTGTAGCCACATTTAGAAACTGGGACAACGACTAAAGATAAAGACGAGAAACTGGACTTCGAAGTAGAGACGAGAGACAGAGAGAAAGACAGAGAATGCGTGTATACATCTGTGTATCGGAAAGCAGAGAGAAGACGAGGGGTATAATGGACGGTGGATTAGTTCGGTAGAGAAGACAATATATTCGCCACAGTAGATGAACATGCACGATCTCGTTTTTTCCTATTTATTATATCTCGATGAGGTTTTTAAATAAATATGACACATGAAAATTTTATACAAAGACGGATGTACACTGAGAAAAAAATTTACTAAATATTAATACATATTTTTTTCAATAATATCAACTTGACAGTTATAATAAATAAATATTTACTCAATAAAAATCAAATTAACAGTTCTTGTACCAAATAAATGTATATTATATTTAATAAATATTCGATTACTATACTATTAAAAAAAAATATATATTAAAATTTAGTATATTTTTTTAGTGTATGTATCACAAGTAAAAATTTCAGAGAAGAAAAGCAACATTGGTAATTAAAAAAATGTATATAAAGAATTATACTTTGCATCGTGTTTCATGAATATTCCATGACTATAACTTAACAAATTCTCTTCAATTTTTTTATAAAGAATTATTCAACAAATCGTTTGTCACAAGTTTAATTTGCACGCCCTCTCTTTGTGAAATCTTCAAATCTTATATCAAAATCTTTACCGCGAATTTCGTATAATTTCACTATCCTTCTCTCTTTTCTTCGTTTATTAAAAACAATATTGATATTATGTCGCGCGAATCTAACTACAGCTAAAAGTTACAAAAATTTACCGAAAGAAAGTTACATAGAGAATATATTTAAAAAATGACGTCAACAAGAACAATCGGTAAGAGCGTCAACTAATGAAGAGTTTTAGAAAGTATTTCACATTAAAATATTGAAAGAACTCGATCGTAAGGAATGGGTTACTGTAAGGTTACTCTCGGCAGGTAAAAATCGTTACAAGTAAAGCGCAAGAACGAACGAGAATCCTGCTTTCTGCGAGATCATTAGTCATGATCCTCGGAATACCGTGATTACGGCAATTTCTTTGATAACGCGACAATTCTATCAAATTAGCAGGGAGAGCAGCAAACAGCAAAGCACTTGGGCACATGC